CCCCCTTTCGCTGATTTCTGGCTACGCCACTGCTCACCACAGTCACATGGGGACGTTCGTTAGACTCACCCGCAAAAACGCCCCAGCAACCAGAACTTGTGTGGGCTGAGGTTTACTGAGGAAGGGGGCATTTTCCCTTGGGTACAGTTTGCGGGATCCTCCGTTTCAGGAGATTTTGTATTTAATTAACTGTATGCCGGGGAGCTGACTCCTCGAAGAGCATCACTCCATGCAGGATGTTGCCTTCTTTCATCTTGTTGATTCGAACTGCCGGAATAATGGTTAGGTACCCTGTAATGGCGAACCCCCTCCCGATTCCGTAAAATAAGGGGGCCCCACGTGACCGTCAGAAGTCACCGAGTGAAATGCCATCACCGATGTCTGCTGCATGCTTTTTGGAACTAAGATCACGTCTTCTGGGCTGGTTGCGATGTTACATGGTGTTTGCGGTTGTTCATATGTTCGGTTATGGGGATACGATCGTCGAAAAAGACCTGCACGTGCTTGCTCGCTTCTCCAAGCCCTTCAAGAGGAAACAATCTTTTTAACGTCACAGCTGCTTCAACATCTATGTTGACAGGTTGATATGCATCAATGCATAAGAGTGCATGTTTGAGGTGCTGGTATATCGCTTTCTCATGGCGCGGCTACCTTCGTTGTAAGCTCGCGCCACTGTTTTCGCGAGGATCCTCTGATTTAACTGAATTTTGCCTTTTAGCCCCCCTGGAAAACCGGGGGAGCGGCTGGTGTCAATGCAATAGGTATGTAAGGATGAGTCAATATCATCTCTTCCTCCAACGTTTACGTCTGTTCGATACACACTACTTTCAGCCATTTGATGGAGCATAATTGGAGTATTGGCACGCATGTGCGCGCGGACTAAGTTGATAGTGGCTTGCTTAAGCCCACGTTCTGTGACCAGCCGACTCAAAATTACAACACAACCTGCATAACATGGAAACGTATTCATTAGCCTATATTTATGTTCAAAAATTATTTTTATCACTCAAAAAAAGTCGTTTTAGAGGAAGTTGAAATTTGTCCCAATTTATCTGCCCAACCCTGTAGAAGATCGTCATCACTGACGGCACGATATGAATATTTGAATTTTTAGGTCATGTTTTTGAGAAACATGTATTTTAAACCAGTGAACAAGGCTGATCAATAAAGCCGAAATATTTGGTTATAATATTTAGTTTTCCTCAGCGAAGCCCGTTTTGAAAACAATTAACTTTTTAGAGATTTATTAACCGGAGGAAAAGAATAATGACGCTTCGGCAACATATGTGGAATGATGTTGGTGTCATTCATTATGCTCGGTGTCAAGGTCACGTGAACGTCGAAAGTCAGGTCACGCTTTGGATCTTTGATGACCTTAGTTAACTTTTTCTAATTTTACATTTTTAATTATAAAACTCAGTATATGTATATGTTACAGGCCGTATGAAAACTCAGTCCGTTTGCAAACGGCCTGGTCCGATTCAGGCCGTTTGCAAACGGCCTGGACAGCCCAGTCAGTATGCAAACGGACTGAAAAGTCAGGCCGTTTGAATACGGGCTGAAATTCCAGGCTGTATGCAAACCGCCTGAAATTTCAGGCTGTTTGGAAACCGTCTAGGCCGTATGACAACTTTCGAGACACCAGGCCGTTTGCAAACGGTCGAGACACTTTGAAAACAATCTGGTCTGCATGAAGATAGCTGGACAATGTTGAGTTTGTTGAAGCACGACCATTTCATGACATTACATGGCACCATGAAATCATGGTCAGGAAGAGATTAGCAGAACTGAGGTCCGGCCCGTAGAGCGCCCGGTCGATCCGGGCTTCCCCCGGACTTCAAAGTTTCGCCTTCCACCGCAATGGTCAAGTATTGCCGGCGTACGCCACCGGCCAGCCGCCGGCGGTCGACCGGGCGCGGTGAGGACCGGAATATGATGCAGTTTTCATACAACACTACCATAACCCCTACTTTCATTTGTCTTGGTTCTACCCCGACTAAACCACTCTATCGTTTATATTCAGGGTTCTGCCCTTTTCCCTCTCCAAACGGGCCTGCAGTTTTCCCTCCACCTCCCCTTCCCCACACACCAATAAATACGAAACGGCATCCTCAAACAAAAAGCAGAAGTGCATCAGCAACACAATTTGCTTACGTCGCCCTACGTACTGCCTGTGGTGGCATCACCAGGCTCCATCAACTGGATGGCCGATAAACAGGCGAACCGAGAAATTGTATTATAGTAATATTGTCGGGAAAACGGCCGGGCCGAGCATCTGCACAGTAAGAAAATGTTGGACGTAGACGAGTCATTGGGCAGAATGCGCCAGCATTCATGGATACAACCTGATCATCGACCAACCTGGATGCATTAACCCTCGCCCGCACATGCCATTTTCCCATCCTGGAACGCACATGGGGGGGGGGGGGGTTGCCACCCCCCGCGCCATTTCGTTCCTGTTGGAGATAGAGCTTAGCGGTAAGGACCAAAAAGATTCTTTAGGAAGAGACAAATCCAATGATACCCAGTTTTACCTTCTCAGGTCAGTCATTGACCTTCCAGGTCAGGTCAAACTAAAAAATGTTGCTGTTTTGGGTCACCGTTGGATATCAAGTGCGCTGCTTATCATATACCGATGACGATGCCGTTTTCTGGTGCCAAGCCAGCTAGAACCTCTTTGTCACACTACCCGACCAGATTTTTGCTGCTGAGGTCATTTCAGGTCAAGTTAGGTCAAGGTCAATTATATGTGTTTGTATGTCTGTGTGTGTCTGTGTGTATACTGATGTGTGCACCGATTGTTTATGTGTCCATATTACATGAAATCATGATCTGAGAAGCTTTTACCAAAAATGCAGTAAAAAAAAAACTTCACAAAAAGTAAATTCCGCTTGCCTAAAACGCAATTATCTTGGATGACCTAGGTTGACCTTGACCTTGACCTTGACATCTGTACATCGTCGAACAACATGTTCCATGATAGGTGGGAGGTAAGACTGGCAAAAAAAGGCCGAAATCAAGGTGACAAAAGCTCACAAGGCCCATAGCCAACGCAAGATGTTGAGAATTGGCCATTTGGGTCATGACATGACCTGAAAACAAGGTCATATCTCCGAAACCAAAAACCACAGAAACTTGAAATTTTCAGTGGACATCAAGAAAGGACAGAGGAGCAGCTATACGAAAAATCAGCCTTCTAGCTCTAAAAATGTTGAGTGCAGAGCAGAAAGACTACCTGGGGGGTGGCAACACCCCCCCCCCCCCCATGTGTGGGCGAGGGTTAAGTCAACTTCAGAGGCTGTTGTACTTCGCCAGACCGTTTGAAAACTGACTAGACCGTTTTCAAACTGTCTAGGCCGTTTCAAACGGCCTAGGCCGTTTTCATACGGCCTGATATTTCAGGCGGTTTGCAAACGGCCGGCTTTTTCAGGCCGTTTTCAAACGGCCTGACTGGGCCAGGCCGTTTGCAAACGGGCTGGGTTTTCATACGGTCTGTAACATATATAAGTACTGTATGTATTGAGTTCTAGATGTACTTAGGCTAGTTGTTGGAGCTGATTTCGAATTTAGCAACCATTTGAACATTTACGAAATAGTTTTGGTGCTTTCGTAACATGTTTCGAAGCTGTCAGTGGTCGTTGACACCTACTATGAACACCCGACAGGACGCCATACTGATCGACTTGACCTGACCTGACCCGACCTCGCCTAAATGCATGAAGACATCAACTGTGATAAAAAATAGAAATGTGTGACCAGCGCCCCAAAAACCCCTATCAAACTCACTTTACGAAATTCTGACAGGTCCTGATTTTCCCGAATTTTGGGTCATTGACCTGATCCATGGAAGGTCAACCAATAACCCAGGACCTTAAGATGGGGTATCATCGGCTTCCTCTCGTCACGGGCAACACGCTCGTTTTCATCGTAAAGCTATAGCTGGATTAGGAGCCGAACGGCAATGGGGTCCGACGGACCCCCCCCCCCCCCCTTCCTATACGTTCGCGGCTGGCAAAACACCAATACGGGCGAGGGTTAAGACTTTGACTCGAGACTCAGAAATGGTATTTCTGTAATCCAATCCATTTTTCATTTGTATCCTCATCGAACTTTACACAATTTTCGCCAGCTGTGTAGTCTGGAAGGAAATTTTTGCATTGGCGCTAGACGCAAAAATCATCGGTATGGTCGGGGTCTTATACGACTCTGAGCAAACTGGACTCGGGCGGTGGCATAGCCAGACAGGTGCCAGGTCGCTTGGATGGCAGTTGCGAGCGAGCTGTACTTTCCTACTGACGTGTGTTTGCGCTAGCCGAATACAGCTGCGTCCCCATCCTATCTCTTCTCTACACGATAGGCGTTATCACGAGTGTATTCGCGGCCATCGGGGCGACGTAAGAAAAGAAGAAAACAACTGGCCCCAAGAACTTAAAATTATCAGTTAGCATGCACCTTTTCCTTGATCTGTAGAGAATTAACCATTAATTGCCAGAGAAAATTGCATTTAAAATCTTCCATTTGTTTTTTTTTTTTCATCGTTTGCACGATATATTCTCTTACTAAGCTAGAAACACTAATTAGAAACAGTTCCCGCATCATCGTCAAGAACAATATGGAAGGCTTGAAGTGAATACAATAATCTAAACGGTTTTGTAATCTATCTGAAGACACTTCTAAAATTGCCTGTAGAAATATTGAAGGCAAAAGTTCAACTTTTTCACAAGACGGATGTCTCTAAACCTATTCAACGTGTGACAACCCAGCCGGTATTTCGTCGCCTACAGTCCAGCTTTCCCTAGTGACCGATAGAGGCGCTGCTATCGATGTCCGCCCGTGCCGCCTAACGAGCTGCTAAGTTCAGGCACAGGTGTGAACTGTGACTGCATCCACATATGGTTGTTTTCTGGTACAGTCTTGGGGTGAATCTATAATTTTACATTTGCGATCTCGATTTTTCATTCTAGCCCAAATCGACCTCACAGTCCATTCTTTGATTGCAGGTTCAACCGAAGTGAGCCTATTTACATAAATCTCATCCGACACCCTGTCCAGCGGTTCATCTCGTTCTTCCACTACCTGAGGCTGGATAAACGCTACAAGAAGGCGACCCAGAGACCCAAACGTCAATGGTAAGACGTCTGGCAGTCCTGCATGTGCTGGCCTCCGGTGTTTAGCGTCAAATCACGGACTACTGAGTCACAGGTATACTCGTACTACTAGCATGCAACGTGACTTAACCCTCGCCCTGGCAGGGGTGGGGTCGATGCGACCCCCCTAAGGTTTTTCGAAAATAGCGTAAAAACGGCGGCGCGCAGCGCCGCCAAATTTGGCACAGCCTATGGGGCAACCTTTTTACATATGACCTAAAAATTTCAGGTCCGGGTGACCTTGGGTCAGGTCATCAGGTCAGAAAAAACCGGTACAAGATCATGGTTAAATTTCAATTTTCTTTTTGCACCTGTCCAACTCACAGTTTTGGACTGATTTCCTTCAAACTTTCAGGATGTGCTAAGTTCACCGAGTTGTATAACATATAGTTCGGGTTTTTTGAGGTCACTGACCCGAGGTGAGTTAGAGGTCATTACGTCGTAATGTTAAGCCTATGGGAAAATACTAAATTCGGAAAATACTGGAGATATCCGCTTCGTTCTATCACTTCTGTGCTTTGAAACCACAGAACTTAACAGCAGGTCACTTGGTGCTTCTTTGTTTGGTGTACTTATCCATGGGTCAGGTCAAATGCGGTCAACTGAGGTCAAATGACGTTTTTGCCAATAACTTGGCACATAATGACGCTACTAGAGCTTAAAAATGGTGTCATTGTGTTGCTGGTGATCAGCCGAATCGAATGATATGCGATATGATGCAATTTGGTTAACTTGAACTTAATTAATTAATTAAAGTTTACTTAAAAATTAAGAAAAACTTTAAGTACACTTAAGCAAGCTAAAAAGTAGATCATTCGACGCGCCTTGACGTGCTGAGTTCACTGGTGCTTTTATTTTTGCTCTATCTTAATTAGACCAAAAGTTATAAGCGGAAAACTTTTGACCTGTTTTTAGCGAAATTTTTACATTTACACAACCCAAAACCCCCCTAAATATTGACCTAGAGCAACCAAATTTGCACAGGGGCGAGAACTCCAAGAAGCCCACCTACCTACCAAATTTGGTGTTTCTAGGTGCCATAGGAGCCAATCACGAGGGGGGTCGATGCGACCCCCCCTGCCAGGCCGTGTTATGAAAAATGCCCTGCCAGGGCGAGGGTTAACGCATTTGAACTTTTTTTTACTAAAAGGGTCTGTTAGTAAAGTTGTTAAGCTATGTGGTGTCATATTATGTTGTAATTTTGTGTGTAATTTTTGTGTGCGTTTGTTCGCGTGGTTAATGGTGGTCAGGTCAACTGATCAAATTAATGGCTAAAAGTTGAAAAAACGCATTTGAACTCTCTCTCTCTCTCTCTCTCTCTCTCTCTCTCTCTCTCTCTCTCTCTCTCTCTCTCTCTCTCTCTCTCTCTCTCGCTCTCGCTCTCGCTCTCGCTCTCGCTCTCTCTCTTTCTCTCTCTCTCTTTCTCTCTCTCTCTCTTTCTTTCTCTCTCTCTCTCTCTCTCTCTCTCTCTCTCTCTCTCTCTCTCTCTCTCTCTCTCTCTCTCTCTCTCTCTCTCTCGGACCCCCTCGATTTTTCGCGATTGACTTGCGCAAAAAGCTGTCAATCGCTATGAAAGATTCAGTACCATCGACTATCGAGTCAATCAATTATATACTTCACCTGAAAATTTCATGACCCTAACCAAAATGACCTTTGACCTGTGGCCTATTTTTCGAGACCATGTTTGGCCGGAATCGCGATTCGGCGTATGTCGGCTAACATTATCCGCGCGTGCAGTCTTTTGTGGTAATAAACGCTCAAACATGTGAAATGCTGATGGTCCCATGCATTATGGTGGGCATCAAGGTCGCATGAAGGTCAGGTCAAGGTCATTGACCTTTGATGGCATTGGTTCGCTTTTCGAGTGTTACATGTTTCTGGGGTAGATTTTGGAGTCGATTTCGAATTAACCCGCGACCGCCTGGGGGGGGGGGGGAGGGTCGGATCCAACCCCCCCTCCGTTTTTCTTGAATAACTCAAAAACCGCTTACGCTATCAACTTGAAACTTGGCATACCTTTCCTCCCATCAATTTGACGTCTTCTGTGTAATTTTAAAGAAAAAAATTTCAAATTTTTTTAGATATATCGATTTTAGTGATGTAACTACATGGCGTTTTTAGTCAAAAAGTGGTAAATGTTTAAAAAATCGCCAAAAATCAGGGTTTAAAGCAAATTGCAAATTAAGGACATGAATAGACGCAGTTCAAAGAGTTCTTCAAAATGGCTATCTCGGATTTTCCATTAAATGCGTTTTCACCCCTAAAAATTAAAAAAACTACATTTTTTGGAAAACAGCTAATAAAATCCGAAATTTTGAGAATTTCCAAAAAACCTCAATATATGTTATAGAGCTCTATTAGAACATTACATGTCCCTAATTTCAACTTTCTATCTTGATTTTTGACCCCCAAATTGTAAAAAATAGCTCCAACATGCATAGGGCATGGTGACGTCATAAGCATTTTCGTGAACTAGAGGCACTTCTGAACATCGCATGTAAAAACAAATGGCACCACTAGATTCCTGGGACAAAGCTCGTCTAGAAAATTGCATTTTTATGTCAAAAATAAAAAGTTGAAAATTGACCTTTTTTCTCAGCCCTCGTTTAGTTATGTATGGTATAAACGATTTTTTATGCTTTCAATTCACACTTATCACCAGCACAGTGACTTGGGGTCACATATAACCATTACCATCGGATTCGGCGTGAAAAATAAGCCATAAAACATGTGTCGCACGCCCATGTAGCAGAAAGTGAAAACCGTGACCTTTCGTGACCTGACCTGACCTTGACCCGTACTTAGTATGACCCCTATACGCACATGGTACCTTCACTAGGCCTTTGAGGTCATTTTTGGTGAGTTTCGAGCAGCAGCTATCGATTCCGCTGTCCGTAAGCCTAATCATGCAAAACCCCAGAATTTGACCTTTGACCTGACCTTGACCCGAAAGTTGACCTCAATCTTAAAATCTTAATAGTGCTTTGGGAAGGTCTCGTAGAGACCTTTCGAACGCCGCCTCGCGGGGCTCGATGCGACAATTGGTTCTCGAGATAACAGGGGGGGTCGGATCCGACCCCCCCCCCCCCAGGCTGTCGTGGGTACGGAAATAGCCCAGGCGGTGCCGGGTTAAGCACCCATTTGAACATTTACGAAGTAGTTTTGGTGGCTTCGTAACATGTAACGAGGTTGTCAGTTGTGTTTGACACCTACTATGAATACCAGACAGGATGCATACTGGTTGACAGTTAACCCGCGCATGACTGGGGTATTTTTCATAACGCGAGTGACTGAGGGGGCTCTCCAGAGCCCCCCCCCCTATCTCCGAAACTACTGGGCCGATCGTCAAAATTCAAACGGCTTCTGATAGCCCTGGAAAATCTGTCGAGCGAAACCTATTGTCATTGACCTCGACGTCACCGATGACGTCACAGGTCAGGGCAAAGTAAAAATTATCGGCATTTTTCCTTGTTTACAATTTAGGCTCTGGCCGCCGGCTGACAAGTCTGAGCAGGCTCATTTGTGGTGTACGCACTCCTTGATATATGCCCTAGATACCCTGAGGGTACCGAACTTAAACTTCAAATTTTTCAGGTCAAGGCCAGGTCATCCTAGGTCACGAAAATTGTTTATCATGTATCGGTCACGTGACGCATATTTATGGTCCATGTTACACGTAGATTTAAAAAATAATGTCTGTGTCATTTGAGGTCAATTTCAGCTGAATTTACCAAAGTTTAGGTCAATTTCAGGTCAGAAAAGGTCAAACTTGGAAAATAAAATTTTTCAACAAACAAGATGCCTATCAGATGCAGTTTGAGCTCAGGAACACGATAGTGCCATTTATATTACTGTACGATATCAAAGACGTACTGAAAAATGGTTTTGAAAAATATCTAATTAAAAATTATTGACAATAATGCAAATAACTTGGCTATTTTTGAAGATATTGAGCTAAAACTTGCTAGAGTAGTTCATCAGTTTGTTTTCTATCACATATATTCCAGTTTTTGCGAAAAATCAAAAACTTTTTGAAAAAAAAATTAAAAAATATTTTTTTTTGTAATTGTAAAAACGTATTTTTCAAAATTTTCAAAATTTTGAAGATTCGAGATAGCTGTTTGATAGCTACGTGTATATGTAATCCATTGATGCAAAGAAATTGGATCTAGCTTTAAAACTAAGCTCTTGAGAGTGTTTGCCGTAATTCAATATTTTGCATCAAAATCGGCCAACATGACGTCACTCTGACGTCATTTCCGGCCAAACTATGGTAGCTAGAAAGTTGACATTTTAACACAAGGTGTCCAATTGATGCTTCTGAGGGTACTGCAAGTTTGGTGTAGATCCAAGGAGCAGTTTAGAAGATATTGCCGAAAAACGGGAGGGGTGGCTCTGTAGAGCCCCCCCCCCCCCGTCATGCGCGGGTTAACATGAACTGACCTAACCTGACCTGGCCTAAATGCATGGAGACATCACCTCATTTTTTCGCGGAACCCTAGCTCGATCAGAGACCGAATGGCAAGGAAGTTTCCAACGGAACCCCCACCTCCATCCCAGCGCTATAGGTAGGTACGCTCGCGGCTGGCAAAACATCAATACGGGCGAGGGTTAACCCTCGCCGAACCTATTGGTTTTCTACATATGCGCCGGCCGAGGGGGGGGGGGGCGGGTACGATCCCCCCTCGCTGTTTCGCCCCTGGTGGAGCTAGCTCGTCGCGGAAACAACGAACGTGTGCGCCGTTACGAGACGCAGAGATTGATACCCGATTTTAAGGTCGTAGGTCAACCAGTGACCTCTGAGGTCAGGTCAAGTGCCCCAAAGTACGGTTCCGTTTTTGGTGAATAACTTCGCAAAAAGCGGCCGCAGAGCCGCAATTTTGGCAGCATCGTGTTGTTTGTCTCCCTCAGGCGCGTCGAATGATATACTTTTTGTTCGGGTGAGGTCAACTTAGGGTGTTGACCTCGGATCACGGTCAGGTCAACGCCCCTAGGTCACGAAGCTGGTCGAAGGAGGAGTCCCGACTCGCTAACTCAATTTGATCGGAAGTTATTGACGAACAATTAATATGACCCTAATGACGTCATCAATGACGTCACACAAGGTCAACATTGCAAAAGTGATGCATTGAACCTTGCAAGGAGTGCATGAAATCACCATTCTGTGTGCCTGAGATAGTTGGAGATCGTTCCCGACGCCAGAACAGCAGTTTCCATTTTCCCCATTGACCTAGGCATACGTATGTGAGGCCATGAAAATAGCCTAGCCTCATATGACCTTTAGGAAAAATCCGAGATAAACAAGTTGTGAGACTACTAATGGATACTAGGTCCTGCAAGTTTCATTTCCCTGCGAGAGCTCCTCTGGCAGTGACTAGTGAGGGCATTGCGAAGTTGCGACATCTGAAGACCATGCAGAGGTTCACTTATGACGTCATAGGTCAGTGACCTGACCCGCAAATGCGGTTGGTGTCAAAAGATCCGGCTTGAATCAAGGGTCAGGACTCAGGTACCTATACAAAGTTTCAGCTCTCTATCGCCGGCGTGTTCGGAGCTATCGCGAACCCCCCCCCCCCCCCCCCCCCCCTCCACCGGCAAGGGTTAAGGTGGGATGTTCACTCAAAGCTTTTCGACGTGTTTTGAAATCACAAGCAGTTTTGGTACGCCCTCAGCTGGCTGAACTATTGCGACTGTGAACTGAGTAGTGAAAATAGCACATTCTACCAAACCCGAATGCACGCGTTCCCGCTACAACTGCCACCTGGCGGGATCAGCTCAATAGTAGTGGTTACCTCACCTGCCACCCGAGGCAGCACTATAGCCGGACGCTGCTCGCTATCGGCCACGGTATACCTACAGCACGGTTCGTCGGAAGGTATTTCATGCTCAAACGAAACTAAATATAGGTACCATTCGGAAGCTGACGGTGAGCTGATTCCAAAAATGTATTTTTTTCAGGAAAAAAATCGTTCGATGGCCTTTTTCAAAACTTGCGTTTTTGTAAAAACGCTACCTATAATATATTTTATTCAACGGGTTGTAGCGGGTAGGTATTCTGGAAATGATAGGCATGTTTTTCGTGTCGCTGAACGCAAAAGAACAGAATGTAGCGAAAAAAAATCTCAAATATTAATATGCGTCTCCCACAACCGACGAAAAGGCGCAATCACACAGCTCAGTCTTCCGATGGACCAAAGTCAGACACACTCAGAAGCGTGTCCGGCCGTGTAATGACCCTTAACGGCTCGCAGACCCGGCACTCTCGGCCCGCCCGCCCGACCATGCGGAAAGAACGTTCGACTCTCGTTACACTAAACAAGTGCCATATTTGTTAGGTTAACTGTCCACACCGCTATCAAAGTTATTCACGATACCTGTGAAGAAAATTATAATAATGCCCATTTGCGTGGCGCTGTATGCTCTATTGGTTTCCGAGTTATGCGATGGCTTCTTCACAATTGTCGATCTTTGACCTGAAATTCGTCGAGCTTTTGCCTTCAATGACCTCTGGTGACCTCACCTTTGACCTGACCAAAACATGACTGGAGTAATTTCGTCGTTATTTTTTACGACGCTCTTTCAAACACCGCCTTCCGCGTATCGCTACGTGGCCCAGGAGCCGAGTAGTAGAGAGAGGAGCTGTTCAAACACCCCCCCCCCCCAGCACTGGAAATCCAGGACCCCCAGCGGGGCGAGGGTAAAACTTAATAGTTGTAATCCTACACAGAAAGAACAAACACAAATACATGTTAATATCATGCTAACGTCCCGTCTTGAACAATCGACCACATCAATTCAATAACAGATTTTCTGTTTTCAGGTTCAACAAGAGCTTGAATGAGTGCGTTATAAGCGGCGACCCTGAATGCGCAATGACAGACACATACCTTCATAAGGGCCCCAAGGGTAATGAGGTGTTTCACCCCATGACGTCCTTCTTTTGCGGCCACGAGCCGGTATGCAGGTAAGAGCAATGCGCAAATAATAATGTCCTGTTTGTATGCGGATGACAAAATGAGCACATATTTATGTTCTGTGGGTGTGCAGGAGGGGAGATGAGCAAATAATTATGCCCTGTATGTATGCAGGCGAGCAATGAACATTGACGACGAAATTATGCCCTGTAGGTGAACGGTCAGTGTAGGTAGATAGGTAACTGTTGGCATTTAGCGTAAATGCTCCGATTAACGAGTAACGACCCCCCTATGCTTGAACCCCGCTGCATCACAGCCTGTCGGTTGATTTACACTGCGAAAGTCTTATATTATTCTTAACATTTTTCTACACATTATCATTCTCAGTTTGTACGTACCCTTCACCATAACGTCAAAATTTGAGATCTTGCAACCTCTTGCAAAAACGCAACTAGGGAGGTTGTTCCTTTTTTGCGACCTAACTAGGTATATTGGTTACTGGCGGTGCGAATAAGGTATTGGTTTGATGACTCTTCGGGTATATGCATATTATGCGGATGAAATATGTTGAAATCAATTATCGTTAGCTGAGGACTTATATTCTATTATTGACGACATAATTTGACATCAGTATGAATGCAGGCAGAAAACGATTGAAGTATCAGGAAAAAAAAACTAGCGCATAAGGAAGTTTAAAAGTTTTCCTTAAACCACGCCCCACTGGGTGGGGGCTATTTTCAGCCCCCCCCCCGTCATTTTCTGTGATATTTTCTAAACCACTGGACTTATCAACACAAAACTCTCAGCACATACCTTCAGCTGCATCACTTCGACATCTTGTGTTAAAACACAAATTTTTTACCACAGATCGGCCGGAAATGACGTCAAAGTGACGTCATGTTCGACCGATTTCAATGCAAAACATTAAACTACGACAATGGCTCTCAAGAGCTTAGCTTTTGGGCTAAATTCTATTTATTTGCATTAGAGGACTCAGAATACAAAGTGCTATCGAACTATTATCTCGGATTTTCAAAATGTTTAAAATATTGAAAACAATTAATTTTACAAATAAAAAAATGTATGTTTGCAATATTTTCATATAGGTTTTTGACTTTTCAAAAAAAAGCTGGAATATATGTGATTCAACACACATCGATGAACACTCTAGGCCGTTTTAGCACGATTTCTTCAAAAAAGCTAAATTATACGCATAGGCGGCGGAACGGGAGGGGGGGTGGGCACCGGGACACCGGGACACCGTGCCTCCTTTGATTTGGGTATTTTAATCTTATACACTATACAAGTACACCGTATACACTCCTAAGATGGAAAGATGCGCGCATTTCCAGTATAGCTCAGTTTTCCATAGTGCAGTAAAATAAAATAGTTATTTATTACACTATGGCATTTGTTAGGCATTCTATAGAATGCCCGATTCAACACATTGCCAGTAACAAATCGCCTTGTTTCCAGAGAGTTCAACAACAGGGTAGCCCTGCAGAGGGCACTTGAGAACCTGGAGAAGAAGTACGCGGTCGTGGGCATCTTAGAGACACTGGACAGATCTCTGCAAGTCTTTCAAGCCTTCGTGCCTATGTACTTCCGAAATGCTGTCAAACTATTTGGCAAATCTCCCTGTAAGCATAGTAGTTTCTTGGACTTTCCTCTCGAATAGCCCTCTACAGGTTATGACACTACATTATAGGTATTGCAGTCTTCTACATATATACCGCGCATAGTGTATACCTGTGCAGTGTGCAATGTGTATACTATTATGTTTTTATCATTAAACTCACGACTAATATTTATTGTGAAAGAGAACTGTCGAACAAAATGTATTTAGTCCTTCAAAGGTTTTCGAAGCAGAATAACCTGATGCCGGACTTTATTTCAGTGAAATCGAACACGAACCAGCACGAACCGGCCACAGCGGCTGTAGAAGAGGAGCTGGCGAGTCGCCTTTGGGCTGATATCGAACTCTACAGGTTCGCCGAGCAGCGACTCTACCTGCAGTACCGCAGCATAGGGGGCCGCGTACCTCCAGGAGCCAAGTTTTAGCTGTGCTGTCGCAGCGTAGGGACTAGAGGTGGCAAAATGTGGACCCGAGGACGCGGTCCATAGAACCGGTCTGGACACATATGGGTCCAGACCGGGTCCCCGAAATTTCCTGACGGGTCCAACCGGGCCCAACCATAAGCCATTAGGTGCTTCTTACCTACATACTAAACCTGGTTGCAAAATATGAAATGAATAAAAAAAATATCATGTTACGTTCCCTTGCACACTGTAGCTCGTAATAATTTTCAGTGGAAAAAAGGTTGTTTTACTTGATGCAACTAATGATACCTACAAATAGTTTGTGTTCATCGACTTATGGAGAACGGGCCCAACTGGTCCCGATTCCAACTTAGACCGGGTCTGACTGGTTCTAGAAATGTCCAGACGGGTCTGGTTTGAGTCTGGTTCCAAAATTTTCACCTTTTGCCACCACTAGTGGGGACTGAGTGGCTCCGTGAGCACTACTACGGCTGCATTATCGCAGCATTAGAGTCGAGGTGCTACCGTATATCGTCTGCTCGTATATCCGTCCTTTCCTGCCTACGATGTGATAATTATTGATAACGGCCGCACGTAAAAAACTGCAGGTAGGGGCCAGGCGGCCTCATTTGTGAGTGCGGAAACTCAGCCAATGATATAACTAGTTAGTAGCTACTATATAGGCAAAGAGAAATGTCAGACATGGCATAGACGGGAATCGGTGTCACGCAATGTGTTGTAATAATGCTGTCAATAAGGCTGCGATAATTACGTCGCCATGCGTCGTTTTCACCGTTAGTCAGCGATCATTATATAATTTTCAATATCATGTCATCCTAGCGGACAAACACTTTTTGATGACAGTTATGTTGTGCGCAGGTTATAATAAGACAGGGTGGCATATGCATTGTAATTAGGCTGGGTTTTGGATGTGAGGTGGTTGGACTGCGAGCTGAAAGCGAGACAGATCTAAAAACGGCGACCGAGCGGTCGGGTTCTTCTGGTCGTCCCGGCGTCGTGTTAAGCTCGATGGGTGGTCGCGAGCTTGTGCGTGCATGCATTCATCTATATCGCGCTCAAAGGGTTACATGCACCCGCCCCCCCCCCCCCACGGGCCCGTGGGGTAGCCCGCTCCAACGGCAACCTTCAAAGCAGGCTCTGACATTGTTCAACCGAGTACCGACGAGCTGGAGATGTAGATAGATTGAGGCTGCCTTGGTTGTTTATCGAAGAACTTTCAATATGCATTATGGAATATGCATGCCTTTTGTATGTGTAGTTAGGTATATGTAGTAAGGCCAGAAATTTGTGATGTGATAATAGGTGCATTGAGTCGATATTTGATAGCGGTGATTTTTTGTATCGGGATTCATTGAACGAATTGGACGTGCGGGGTGGAATGAGCAATTATGTGTCAATAAACTGGTGATGTTGTTTACTGTGAAACGCTAAGCACCAACGCAGTTATAGGGGAGAGTGGGGCTATGCGTTACACTTTTTGGTTTTCTGCACTTAGTGGCCAAGCTAATCAATGATATTGCACCAAATTTGGTCACATGCTAGCTGAATCAATTTGGGAAGCACATGCAAACTTTCACTTCTTTACGACTATTCACTTTAATGTGAAATTCAGAAAACCAAAGCAAGATTTTTGGGGTAAGTTGAAAAACTGTGGGGCAGCTTGATACACGATATGGGGTAACATGTTACACTTCTTTTTTCGTAGTTTCTTCATCATTATAGGACTGTCATTGGCCGTCCTATCGGAACCGATCGTAAGCCTCCCTAATGGATAATACTAAACATGCTTCCCAGTTCCCTTTCTTATTGAAAGGCAAGAACAATAAAGCATAAACCATTACTGTACCCCATACGCATGAAAAGGCTCATCAAACATGGCTCAATCTCTTATTTGCCTTTTATACTGCGACGCCAAGGGTACCATGCATTGCCATACTGACCGGAGTTTGATTTTCTGCACGAAATTTACGCCCAGGTGAAATGGAGCTCGCTATAATCAGTCTTGGGTAGCCATCTTTAAACATGCCCCGGCCCTGCGGCGGCCGGCTTTCACAAGACTGAACTCAAATGTTTGTTTACATGAAGAGGCTAGTGCTTTTTACTTGGTGATCTTAAAAAATAAATCATCGCTTAATTTTGTGAACATACATTCAACATTCTTACACAAATAACCTTGACAAAAATCGACCCGAAGTGTTGGCCAGCAAAAAATACTTTTGCTGTCACAACTTACCCCAGTGCGCCTACAGGGTGACATGGCGTTCCACCAGGTCTGAGCCCGCAGTGACATGTAAAATGTGCGTAACCTTTCTGCTAGCGTAAATATTGGCGCCATATCAAGAGTATTTTAAAGATATTTCCTTTGTAACAACTTACGCATGTAACAGATAGCCCCACTCTCCCCTACGCACCCACCTAGGGGAGAGTGGGGCTATGCGTTACACTTTTTGGTCTTCTGCACTTAGTGGCCAAGCTATTCAATGAAATTGTACTAAATTTGGTCACATGCTAGCTGAATCAATTTGGAAAGCACATGCCAACTTTCACTTCCTTACGACTATTCACTTTTATGTGAAGTTCAGAAAACCAAAGCAAGATTTTTGGGGTAAGTTGAAAAATTGTGGGGCAACTTGATACACCATATAGGGTAGCATGTTACACTTCTTTTTTTGTAGTTTCTTCATCATTATAACTGTCATTGGCCGTCCTATCGGAACCGATCGTAAGCCTCCCTTATGGATAATACTAAACATGCTTTACTTTCTTATTGAAAGGCAAGAACAATAAACCATAAACCATTCCTGTACTCCACACGCATGAATAGGCTCATCAAACATGGCTCAATCTCTTATTTGCCTTTACCGCGACGCCAAGGGCACCATGCATTGCCATACTGACCGGAGTTTGATTTTCCGCACAAAATTTACGCTCAGGTGAAATGGAGCACGTCATAAGCAGTCATCTTTAAACATGCCCCGGCCCTACGGCGGCCGACTTTCACAAGACTGAACTAAATTGTTTGTTTACATGAAGAGGCTAGTGCTTTTCACTTGGTAATCTTACAAAAGAAATCATCGCTTAATTTTGTGAACATGCATTCAACATTCTTACACAAATAACCTTGACAAAAATCGACCCGAAGTGTTGACCAGCAAAAAATACTTTTGCTGTCACAACTTACCCCAGTGCGCCTACAGGGCGACATGGCGTTCCACCAGGTCTGAGCCTGCAGTGACATGTAAAATGTGCGTAAACTTTCTGCTAGAGTAAATATTGGCGCCATATCAAGAGTATATTTGCTTTGTAACAACTTACCCCTGTAACAGATAGCCCCACTCTCCCCCAGGCGCGTAACCACCACTGGGGACACTGGGGACCGGTCCCCAGTAACTTTTGGGTTACTGGGGACTGTCCCCAGTAAAACTGACGACCTCAATTTGCTTAACCTTCCAGGCGGTGGGGGGGCATTTTTTTGCCCCCCCTTTAGTTTTTTCAATATATCTCGAGAACCGCTACGCCGATCGTCACCAAACTTTCAGTACCCTCCCGGGAGCAGCTAGCGCACATGGTGACCATTTTTTTTTCCAAAGGCTATGATAGGTTGGCCGCTAATGACGTCAGAGTGACGTCATTTTTGCCATTTTCGACCCAAAAAAAGGTTTCGCGGGAAGAACTGTCAGGCCTACAGCTTTAGAAATACAGAAAAATGTTTCAGACATAAAAGGTGTGGAATCAAAAGGGCTACAAAACTGCTATTTCGGTTTTTCGAATTTTTTGAATTTGGACCCACAAAAATCAAAAAATAGATTTTTTGAATATAATAGCCAAAAAATCCATTAAGTTTTTTGAATTTCGAAAAAAAAAACCGGAATATATGTGAAAGTCCCTACCGCCTTCTATCTACATACCAAATTTGAGATCGATACCTCTTTTTTTTTTGGCCAAGTTATAGCGAAAAAACTGTTCAAAATTGATGACGTCAAATTTTCAATCTCAATTTTTAGCAATTCTAGACCTCGTAGCGCAAAACAAAGACCACCATTGGACTCCCCGTGACGAGCTGCATCGAATCGATACCCATTTTATGCAAAAATATCAACTTTAAAATTTGACCTTTTTTGACCTGACCTTGACCTGACCTCCACCAGAAAGTGACCTAAACCGTACCTGATGGTCTTATAACCAACACCATTGAGTTGGAAATGAAAAACTGGCCATAAAACATGCATCGCATAACCTTAGTAAAGTTGGGCTCATGTGGTGACCCTTGATGACCTTTGGTGACCTGACCTGTGACCTGACCTGGTATGACCAGTGACCTCTAATAGCAACATATGTACCAGACAACTGACGCCTTATCGCTGATCTTCGACAAAATGCGTTTTACTCGGTGTTATAGCGCTTTCCCTAGAAGCCCCGTGAACGGTGAAACATTTTATCTTTGACCTGACCTGTGACGTCATCGGTGACCCCGAGGTCAATGAAATTTGGTTTCCCTCCACAAATTTGACAGGGCTATCGAACGCCGTTTGAATTTTCCGGATCCGTCCAGTAGTTTCGGAGATACGGGGGGGGCAAAAAATGCCCCCCCCCCCCACCGCGCGGAAGGTGGCTGGTAGGCCCACCGCCTGCCGGGTTAAATAGCGGAATATTGTCTCTAAATCGACGTGAATAGTGATATGTAGTTAACGTAAGAAAAAACTATGGATGCGCCCGGGTGGGCCTCTCAGTCAACTTCGCCATGGTGGGGGGGGGGGGGCTTTTTTGGCCACACCAGGTTATCTTGGAAAGAAAGCAAGCTAAAAAGACGAGGTAAAAGTAACAGATAGCTCGCTACAGCATCTTTCAAAATTACCTACATCATTTTTTGATCAGGTCATCGCTGAGGTCACTGCAGGTCACCAAATGTAAAATTTTCACGAAAATTTGTTCCCAATTTTGACAACTTTTCACAAATCAGCGCATAAGTCAGGAACCAATAGAGCTGCAATGCTGCGGGAAAGCGCATTCGATAGCCCTTTCAAAGGCCTTTCTGGGTAATGCTCTCAGATTTGACCTAAGGTCAACATTTTAGCTTCGCAGGCTGGCGTTTTTGCGGAAAAGGTTTTTGCATCATAGCTTTGGACTTAAAACTTGTATGACGCTTATTTTACCGGCATCGCGTTTGTCTCGTCGAGACGCGTCGAATGAACTATAAATTGACCTGAAAAGGTCAACTTCAAAATTTTACACCTGGTCCAGGTCACGGAAAAGGTCATGTTGCATGTCATTTGATTGATGTTGTTGAGCTGAACACATTCATGGTGTTTTCAGCGCTCTAGCATGTTTCTACCTAAAGTTGTGGTAAAAAAAAACTGTTGGAGATGTTCCATGACCTGAGATGAGCTGAGGGGCATAGAGGGGTCACAGGTGCAATTTTCCGGTTCAGTGTGTCATGTTTACCTGTGTCACGGTGTTTGAATGTGTTTTCGGCCAAAAGAAGAGCATTTCAATTTTCTCCCAATAACCTTTAATGGGGAGGTCGTAAAATTGACCTGACATTAGGCCACCGATGTGGAAACTTTGAGATAGGTATACGAAATTTTCATACTGATTTCCTCAAGTAAAAGCTCGAGTTCCAAACTTTTGGGATTTAAACTTAACCCGCGCCCCGTAGGGCTACCGGCGGACCCTACCACCCGTAGGGGGGGGGGCGTTTCGGCCCCCCCTAAGATCTCGGAAATTTACCGGCCGATTTTCAAAATTCAAACGGTGTTCGATAGCCCCACCAGGGAATTACCTTGTGACAAAATTTCATTGACCTAGGTCAAACCGATGACGTCACAGGTCAGGTCAAAAGTCGGATTTTCACCATTCACAGGCATTACAAGAAATGTGCTGTGAAATCGAGTAAATTGGGATTTTTTGGCTAATATATCCAAAAAATTGCTTTTTTATTTTTTGGGGTCAAAACTCAAAAATTAAAAAATTCTGAGATAGCAGGTTTGTAGCCCTGTCAATTCTACACCTTTTATGTCTCGATCATTTTTCTATATCTTCAAAGCTGTAGGCCTGACAGCTCTTCTCGCGAAGGTCTTTTTTCGGTCGAAAATGTCAGAACATGACGTCATTCTGACGTCATTTGTGGCCAACCTGTCATAGCCTTTGGATTTTTTTTTAGTCACAATGTGTTAAATTGATGCCCGGAGGGGTCCTGAAAGTTTGGCGGTGATATCTCCAGCCGTTTAGGAGATATAGACGGAAAAGGACAGCCCGCGGATCCCGCGGACCTACGGGGCGCGGGTTAAGGAATGACAGTCACAAAGTTTTTAGAGGCATGGTTACTTTACTTTTCCTGGTGACCTGACCTTAGAAAACCTGGGGTCAAAATTTTCACACACGATGCGAAATTGAGGCATCATAAGCTATACCAAGTTTCACGGCGGTGCGCGCCGCAGTTTTCCCTACACGCGCAAAAAAAAGCTGGCAGGTGTGGCCAAAAACGCCCCCCACCCCACCCTCTCCCCCCCCCCCCATACACACACTCCGGCGAAGGCTGATCCTGAAATATCATATTTGGTCTTCGCGGCCCTCCATGTGGTCCCCAGTAACTTCAGACTCGTGGTTACGCGCCTGCTCTCCCCTACTAGTGAAAAGAAACCCGCGCCAGTGGACACCCGCGCCTCTGACCTCAGTCATTTGGCTTTTGAGATACTTGTTGGTTTCCGCAAAAAAGGTACCGTAAACAGGGGTGACTTTGCCACGTCTTCAACTTTGGACGCTTACAAACTTATTGGGGTGATTCTGCGTAAGCAATAATCATGCAAATATGTTATTCATAATGACGCCCTGAGTGGTTTAGGTTTGAACTTTTAAAGGTAGTGTGCCAGCTTTCCTGGACCGTATGGAGTTAATGGCCCAGATAAGGAGAACCGGATTTTTAGAACTTATCCATACCTTCAAAACTCATGGAAACGTCTTAAATTCTTCAAATTTTGAGTACCCCAGTGCGAAATTCGCCCCGACGGGTTGTCGGTCGTACGCCAGCCACATTTCACACTACTATGAACAATGAATGCACACACTGAAATCGCTATTACCGATATGCTCATCCAATCAAGTTTCGATAAACCCGTTCATCATCATCTCCTGCGGTTTCGAACACGCCTGTTAGGTGGTGCGGTAGACCGCGCCCAAAGCCAGGGCCCCGGTAACGTGAGGTAGCCGAGTCGGGGCAGCGTGCGCTGACCCAAGCCGGGGCCGCGCGTCCTCCCGGTGTCATGTGATAGCCCGGGGCTGCCCGCGGGGATGCGGTAGACCGCGCCCAAAGTTGCGGCCCCGGCTTGGGTCAGCGCACGCTGCCCCGACTCGGCTACCTCACGTTACCGGGGCCCTGGCTTTGGGCGCGGCTTCTGCTCATACTTTGTGGTGCGGTGGTGGTGCGTCGGGCCGCGCGCTCTGACTTCGGCCAAGAAAAATGCGTCAGCTGATCATTGGGGCATTCCACGTCAAATCAAACACCAAAATCCGTCATCCCCTTCGATTTTTCTGAAAATTTGTAGGCAGACTGGGCATGGTTCAAAACTGAGTTACGTATAATATTTTCGAAATTTGATAAAGTATCGCTGAGATATAGGTCATCGAATATAGCCAAAAATGCCACACATCAATTTTTTAAATGTCTATAACTCTGGTTCCTTTTCTGGTATCAAAATGATATTAACAGGGTCTTGTAGGCAATTGATAAGGCTTTGATTTTTAATTATAAAATTAAATTGAAGTGACCTTGAAATGCATTTGACCTTGAATTAAAACAGAAAAATTTAAATAGCAAAAAACACGTCACCTTCGATTCGGGTAATTTTTACATATTATGTCCGTCACAATGTTCCTAACCATCTGTGAAAAAATTGGAGTGGGCCATTCATAACTCTCGCGGCAAACGCCGTTTTCATGCATCAACATCACGCAATTCCGCGCGTGACCTTGAAAGACAGAGTCAAGACATGCTTGCTTATGTACACTTTCTGAAATGAATGATTGCTGATTAGTGATATCCCAAACTCTGCGAGAATGGAAATACATAGTCATCGTAGTCAAGCATTCAAGTTCCATAGTAAAAGTGTCTCAGGCAAACGGTATTTTGCGGTGAATTTTGAGCCGTGTGGAAATGCATCATGAAGCCAAAAATTCAACGAAAACATTATTACGCAACGATATCTTCACGTCTTTTAATCTACACTAAACGAAAGAATATACATTTTTGAGTATGTATGGGGAATTTCTAGTTAATCCAATAATAAATATGACAGTTAGAGACCTGCTAAGAGTAACATGTCGCAGGCTGAGGCGGGATCGGCCGACGCGGGAAACGCAACAATCACAATTTTGTGTTTACACGTTCATATTTCAATTGTTTACCAACCGATTTTCAAAATTCTTGCACCATAAGATTGCCTGTACATTTCTTAGTCTTCTCACAAAATTTGACGCGAATCGAACGTAATCAGCGGTAAGGAGCGCGATGTTAAGACGGAACCGTTCCGTTCCGTCCCGGCCGTTCCGGCACAGTCTACAATTCAGGCGGCGGCTAGCGGTCGACGCCGGCTGCCGAGTCGCCGCGTCGCCGCGGCGACAGGATGTTCACTTTACACCGCTATTACTAGACCAGTTGTGAACCGATTTTCTTCTTGCTTGCACGATGAGATGTGCAATTCCATTTTGGACAGGTAGCTTTAATTAATTTCGCATTAATACTATGAGATATTGGCGAAAAACAGGAGGGGTGGGGCGAAATTCACTCTTCCCCCTCCACTGCGCGTGCTAACATACGTTTGCATATGTGGCATTTTCTTCAAAACTTATGAATGGCCCACTCCAATTTTTTCACAGGGTGTTAAGAATATGGTAGGCAATAAAATATATGAAAATTAGCCAAATCGAAGGTGACGTGTTTTTTGCTATTTCAATTTTTGTGCTTAAGAACAGAGTTAAGCAAATTTCAAGGTCATATATTTAAGTAGGTGCAATTCTAAACAAATGCTTAAGAAATTACCTAAACAGTAAGGTTTATTTCATTCAAATCAAACAAGTACAACCAAAGTTATGGTCGTTCAAAAATATAAAGATGCAACATTTTGTAAAAATTCGATGCCCTATATTTAGAAGACCTGTGGTCAGAATGTGCAGAAAACATCAATGTAATGTTCGGAGCGACACAGGAACTCGCTCACAAATTTATAATGAAATCGCTGATGGTAAGGTGCAAAACAGCCGATTTTTGTTCGAGTTGACGTGGAATGCCCCCATTGTCATTTCTGCCACTTGCGTGTGGTGAAATGGGGTCATAACTTAAGAGACGGCTTTTTCATATCAATTATTTTACATAAAATCATATTTCAAACCATAAATAATGTTCGACAGCCAAATAAAAGAAACAATACCAATACAGGCTTACAGTTTAAGGCTCGACATTGTGTTGTCTACGATTAGACAGCTGATAACTCATTCCTGTACGTCGTAACTCTATATTGACCTTTGCTTATTGTCACATGTGCGCCGCATTCGCGATTTTTGCCGACGCCTGTTTGCAGGTCAGCCCACTACAGTTGTTATACATATTGAAAAACCGATAAACTTTTAGGCGAAAAAGGCACTATTCCAGGCCCATTTTTGATTTCTTTTGCGATATTAGGTAAAAACAGAAGCTTCTTATCCTAGGAAAAATAAAATGGGAAATCTTTCAAAGGTGGCACACTACCTTTAACACAATATGAGGAAAATATGACCATAAATTGAACTAAAAATTGAAATACAAATATTTGCAAAAAAAACTTAGGTAGGGCCAGGCCGAAGACACACTGCACTATAAGAATCTATAAGAATGCACAAGCTAGAGCAGTAACACAGGATGGTCGTCATTAGCATAAATCAACAGCACCGCGCGGATGGCTGCCGTTTCGGTGCACACTGTTGTCGTACACATGCAGCTCGGGTGCACGGCGCTGACGCCATCGACAGGCCCGCGCCGCCCGATGGCCGTATATGGTCATGTGAGCGGCGGCCGGTGAGCGGCGGCTGAGTCAGCGGGTCAGGCCGGGTCGGCACGCGGGCCGCGACATCCGCCGGCCCGGTGAAACTCGGACTGCGGAGCGGAGAAAAACTGGGAACGGAGCCGCAGCGACGGCACGGGACGGGCGAGGCTTTGTCGAACGCCGGGAGAAGGGCAGAGCCGTGTGCGATGTGTAAGCAATGAACAGAACGGTTAGAAGAGATGAATATTCTTTTTAAGGAGCAAGTAGCGATGTTTGCGCTGACAAACAAGTCTTTTGATAAGATATTCTATGCAGAACAAACTGAATTTTCATTTAAACATTCTGTCCCAACGCTACAATTTATGTCAGACAGTTGTCTTCCTGCATTGGAAAACTATTCTATTCTGGGTTCGCTCAACATTCACCCAATTTGCACCTGCTAACCCTACTGTCGCGTCCCAGGCTCTACTGATGATAGCTTTATCAGTGAGAGCCTAAGAGCTGACGAGAGCTATCAGCTGATAGCCCCCTCCCCGGTATCCGGTCGGCCCCACCTCGGAGCGTTGCCCGCCGGGATACGATAGGAGTTTATCATAGAGGACTATATCCCGGTTCAATAGGAACGTCTGTATCGGCCGACAGTGGCAGTGGAGACAGGGGGCGGGGCTGACGGCAGACGGACCGAAGCGTCTGGCAGAGACCGCCAATGGCGTGAGCCATGATCTTCGGTCGCCGTCCGCTCCTTGAAAGGCACGCACATCGCATGCGATTCGTGGCAACGAGTTGCTTAGTCAATACCCAGCGATGGAACCTTATTCAGCGTTGGTAGATGTACTTTTCGATGTACTCGTAAACAATATCGATCTAAAAAAGTATATTTGAATTTCACGCACCCTACACGAAAAGGTCGCGAGGCGGTAATATAAAATGATTAGTTGAACAACACAGCAGTGCTACTGGTGGCCACAGCGCAGGAATGTATCCGGATCGCCGCGTGTCCTGCGCTGGGCGGCGCTCTGGAGGGAAGACACGCGCCACAGCCGGGCCACCAGCGCGCACCACCGGCGGCGGCATCGGCGGGCACCGCCCCTTACCGGACAATAAATACCTCAATCGTGTTAGTCGATACAGGTCGGACCGTCCGGCCGGTGTTCGCTGATTTGATCTGAGCCACGGCCGCAGGAGCGTGTGACAGTGTCCACTGTCCGCGATATACCCAGTTGCAGGTCGTTGCATAGCCGGAAGAACAGACAGCAAACCTCCAAACGAGCCCTCAACAGGGACCGAATCTAGGCGCGGCTAACAGCTGACGAGAAACCAGACAGTCGACGGTTACATTGTCATGGGCTGTCAACTCATGACAAAAAAGTGCGGGTGATACAAAGAACCTCATTTACTGGCAATGACCAGATAACGCTTTGCAATAACTTATCTTAGTTCGTAACCACATCGTCCTTAGGTACCAAAAAAGGCAAATATTGGTGTAGAGCGGTCCCGACGCCATTCAAAAAGTTACCTCTTCGTCAGTTTGTCCACTGAACCACCACTACAGCATCAAACGCGGGTTTCTCGGTATGAAAGCAGCAGCATTGACACTCGCGCGGAAGGACGGGTCTCGACAAATTCCGGTGCCGCGGGAGAGTGACCGCGTCACTCCCTATCCACTCAGCACCGAGTGCACAAACTCCTCGTAGTTGACATTGCCCTGCGAGTCCTCGTGGCCGGTCATCAGCTGTTCGACCTCCTCGTCGGAGAGTTTCTCACCTGCGGGCCCGACCCGGACGTCAGATAGCGGCGGTACCCAGACAACGTCAGACTACGCCGGTAAGTAACGTCAAAACCAACGTCAAAATGCCTGGTAAACGTCAGACGACAACCTTCCACCGTCAAACTAAGACAGTAAATACTGTCGGTAAAAATATATACCACACCAAACCAATGATAACTACGTTGATAACCATCGGATAACGCTGAACAATGCCAGCGAACGCCTCTTTGTAAGACAGAAACGGTACCACGTGACCTGGAGATGACCCAAAGTGACCGAAAGCCATTGCCTGCTGTCGCATGACAAAAGTAGAAACGAGGACGGCTGTAATTTATAGCGTGAGTGCCTGGGAATTTTCGTGACCCGTCAAAACAAATAGTCATTGTTAAAACCTATGCCCAAGAGAGCGCAAAAAAGCACGCTCGGTCATGTTCCTCATCCCAGCCGCTGTGATGCAAGCCGAGCTCAGGGATGTGACGCCATCTCCCACCCTCATCCCAAGTCCTCCCGCCAGCTCCCCCATCCCGTCACTCACCGAGCGTGGTCAGCAGGTGGCGAAGCTCAGCCGACGAGATGTAGCCGTTGCCCTCCTTGTCAAAGTGGCGCAGACCCTCGATAAAGTCGTCGGCAGTGTCGGCCGACTTCTGCTTAGTGATGGTCTGCATGATGGGCAGGAACACCTCAAAGTTGATCCGGTCCTCTGGAGAAGGGGGGCCACAAAAGTTGGTCACTTCCTGCACACGACCCACCAGTCTTTGAATCAATCCACCTTCTCATACCCCGACTGCAGAACACTTGCTGTCTCACTTGATAGCTGGTGTTCCATGTCAGCTGGAGTTTGTGGGATGCTCCGACATCTTCCTCTAGCTCCATTCCTAAGCTATCTAGCGAGAAATCGCAATTCGCGGCTGCAAAAAAGGCGTCTCTACAAAGTCTCATGCTAAGAAATCAAAATTCTTCCTTCCCCAATGAACTCAGTTGGCACCAGCTGGCGGACTCACCTGGCCTGTGAGACTGGCAGAGTTTCTTCACCTCGGCCTCTGTCGGGTTCTGGCCGAGCGCGCGCAGCACGTCGCCAATCTGTGCCACGTGAATCTGACCATCACCCTTGTTGTCAAAAATCTGGAAGGCCTCCTGGAACTCTGTAAAAAAGGTATGATGCTGTGGGGTACGACTAGCGAGCGGGATGTCCAACTAGTCCAGAGTCAAGATAGTGGAATTCAAATTAGGTAAGTTATTCAAATTAGTAATTAATTTAATTTAATTATTAATTGATTAATTCAATTAAATTTAATTAATTTAATTTAATTCAAATTAGTATTTAGGTAAGCAGAAGTGGTTTCAAAATTTTGGTAATGGTGCCCGTCTCTGGTTGCATCTCAAGATTTTGAATGAGTTAGAATCCTTATTCACATACTTTGCCAGCACAACTTTTATTATCAATTTTAGCTGCTCTCAAAAGAAACACTAGCAATCCATTTGATGGTTTACATTTAACACAGAATATGCCAGACCACTCACCAGCAATCTGGTCTTCATTGTAGGTAGCCTGAAACAAATTAATTCAATTTCAATGACACAATAATCCACAGGTAACAAGTCTATGCTTATTTCAGGACACCAATAGGCCTATACCTACAGGGTGTCCCATAAGTTCCTTCTCACCTAAATTTTTCTTTTAGAGGCTCTCTTATTTAAAGTCACTCTTAATTTATTTTGTAACTGAGCTTTTGGGGTTGCCATGGCAACTGTGAATGTGCTCCACGGTAACTAATTCGTCTAGACAAAATATTTTTTGCCAGAGAGTTCACTTCCTTTGGAGACGGCTTACGCCGCAACATAGAGGTCTCTGATACGGGAACGTCTCGGTATTTAGACCGCACTGGGCCATTCACGACGGTTGAGGGTGATTGAGGCCATCCAGTATGTAGCCAATGTCTGTCGCTAACTGGACGCACAGTCAACAAGTGACGCCGATGATTTGTCGGGAGTCAATCGCTGCAAGTGTATGCTCTTTTTTTGTCAGCTTTCACGAGTGAGCCATTTGGCCAAAACTGTGTGGCGCCAAAATGGCCGTCAAAAAGGTCTTAGCGTTAGAAAGTTGGTAAACAGGCTTTTCAGGATGCATTACCAGCTGTCTAAGAGGTACCTGTCTAAGAGGTAAGAGGTACCTATTTCGAGGTACCTAACTCAAGGTGACTTAAGCTCTACTTACCGGAGGGCTCAAAACAGTCAAAAACGTCTTAAAATGGCCAAACATGTGTTTCGTTATGCCTGAGGCTGAAAAAACTGGAGGGCCGATGACATCAATGTGGTCATCTGGACTACCTAGTCCGTGCTCGAGATAAAACACCCGTCCAAACCCCAAAACGGTCCCATATGGGCGACGGAAAAGGCCTTTGTGTCATCCAGCTTTATTCCTATGCAAAAGGCCAGGGTCACGGTAATGTGGGGTAATATGCGTCCAGACACTGATCACGTTGCGATTGATGCTCCAGAAACAGTCTTGGGACGCAGAATGCTTCTCCAAGAAGATCTAGGAGGAGTTTCAGCTTTCTAGCTTAACTCGAACCGCAAGTATGACCACATTTTTTTAGGAGAAAATGGCATCCGGGAGGTCGTAGGCCCATCTTCAAGCAAGACAGTGCATCAGTGCAGAGGTCAAGCAAAGCATAAAAGCAGTGCCAGGAGACTGTGATAGGCGTATGTGGCAAGATCACATCCCAGGCAACTCATCGGATCCAAATTTCATAAAAATGTGTTGGGAATATTGAAATCGAGGCTCGTCGAAGCGAAGCGGTGTTCCAGCATTGAGGAGCTCACGGCGCATGCCAAGTCAGTCTGGGCTAACTTCAAGCCTGCTATGCTGCCAAACATGCCGGTTGGCATGTCGCAGCATGTATTCATGTGTTTGCCTATGAAATGGGGAGCACATTGAGGGGTTATAAACATATCAAAACGCAATGTACTATGTTTTACATGCAAATAAAAGGTGAGAACGAACTTATGGGACACCCTGTAAGCAAGGCTAAGGTCTTAGAATGTTCACAAAATGGCATCAACAGCCTACGGGTCCAAAAATCCTTCAATGCTGATGGTGTTTTTAACGATAAAAACAGATGTTGAAATGAGCTATTTAACATTCTGCAAACCTGCGTTTCTTTGTTCAATATAAGATCTCTTTTAAGCTTTTCCTCCAGATAGTGGGAGCCAGCAGCTAGCCGAGGAAATTAATGGGGAAAGGTAGTAGGTACTTTATATATTTGAATACTCATGCTGAGCTTCTGAAAACTATAGTCTAGATGCAAAGCATCAAAAAAATAAAAACAAAATCAAATCAAACTTTGTCCTTTGAAGCAAGGACTTTGAGAAGAAGCCTAGTGCAAAATGGAAGAAAATGAATTTAATGTCACTTAGCTAAGATGCTTACCATTTTCATAACTTTTGATGTTGTATGCTAAAATGGCAGCAAACAAGTTTGAGTTTCCAGTTCTCACAGGCAACAACCCAACAAACACCACACCCGTCTCAAAATACAACGCATTGGCAATGCGACGAACAACGGTTATGACCACTCCCTTATCTTCATCAAGGTTATGTCTTTTACTGTCTGTCCAGGATTGGATGGCAGTCAAAAATGCTTATTACGTCATTACCAGTCATCGTAAGGATTATCATTTTTACGAGAGAATTAGATAAAAATTTGGGTAGGTGTGAACAGCTTGGGTAAGAATATTGCATTATTTTGCTCAATTACTCACATGAATACTTAAAATTGGCCTAGCTTGCCGCACATTCACTGTCTAGTGTCACTTTGGTATCTAGCATTTTCCTGGCGTTTCTTATCTAAAGCACATAGCCTGCATAGTTCATATTTCATTGATTCAATTCATTACACAAGCGATGATTCATTACAATAATGTGTTCTTTGGTGAGCGCAATTACCGTTTTCGGCCTGGAATAATCTCGGAAGCATTTGCTCGTTTGTCGAAAAGGGGAAACGCAGCTATGACATCATTGACCCGACAAAACTAATCCAAAACTTCAAAATCAGTATTACAGCCAATCTGACGCCTTGGAGACGATTGCTGTTAAAAAAGAATAGCACTATTCCACTGCAAACCTTTACGCGTCCTATTCCAACAACAACAACAACACTGCAAACCTTTAAGGGACCCTCCCACCTTCAAATAAGTTTATCAATTGGCATGAAAGTGATGTCGCTCGGTTTAGAAAGAGCGAAAACGAATATCTACCAAATTTCACCGAAAAATATTTACCGGTTTTCAAGATATTAGACTTTTACTTTTGTTTACTTTTTGGGATCTCCGCTGGGGTGAGTATTGAAGCATCCAAGAGCGCAGCATCCAAGGGATGCAACATCCAAAACCTTAGCATCCAGTGATCAAAACGTCCAAATAACATCCAAAACCGACCCAATAGGGATGATTCAGAGCATCCAAGAGCGAAACATCCAAAACTGCAACATCCAGGGCCACAGCATCCAAAATCGTATCATCCAAATTGGCAGCAACCAAGGACGAGGAATTGCAGCATCCAAGAGTGAAACATCCAAGGATGCAGCATCCAAAACCGTATCATCCAAAAAACATTTTTGGCACCGCAGCATCCAAGACCGTATCATCCAAAATAGTGACATCTGTTGTACAAGCTGTAAACTGTTAGTTCAATGGCTGTCCGATAGGTGGCGGCGCGTACGGTTCCTAAGGGACGGAATCGTATGACATCACTGAGTCTCTATACAGTGGCATCCCTATAAGGACCTTACATCCTCCAGACGGAGGTGCGTAGCTGCTGGTAGCGACATCGCTGCGATGGCACTACAAACCTGACAGATGACATGAAGACGCATTGCAGCGTATCCAAGCGCACGTATGTAGGTATGCTGAAGTGTCGATAATGGAGACCGATACCGAAAGTGGGTTGATTGATTGCCCTTTCAGTTTTCACACCAGAAGTGCCTAATAAGTCGTGTAGTGTCCACTATCCCCGTAACCAAGCCTCCGCAAGGATCTTCCTCTCACCGTCAGATCGCGCTTATCATCGTCAGCTCCTCCCGTTCCTTCACAGTTAACCTTTTTCCTGTCCTATGTTATATATTCCATGTTCCAGAGGGAAAAAACTATAAAAATAGCCGTTTATACCAGGGGTGCAGAGCCGGAGCCGGAGCAGCCGGAGCCAGTATATTTTGCCCATAGCCGGAGCCGGAGCCGTGAAACAATATTGCCCGGAGCCGGAACCGGAGCCGTCAAAAAAGGGCGACTCCGGCTCTTTTTTAAGAGGAAAAAAATTATTGACCTAGTTCGGTTTGACAGTAGGCCATGTGGTATTCACTATTCAAAGTAGCCTTGTTATGCCAATACAGAGGCAGCGTGTACCAATCCAATTTCAATCGCCCTTTTTCTTCCACCCGTAGGTATTTAATTAATCGCATAGGGGATGTACTGAGTAGGAGCCGGAGCCACCGGAGCCGGATCATTTTACTCGGAGCCGGAGCCGGAGCCGGACCGTCTGAAATTTCCACGGCTCCGCATCCCTGGTTTATACGAAAAAAAAGTTTTAGGTAATAGCTTTTGACTGAAGGGAGACACGACATTACTTTTGCCAGCAACGTGTTCCTCTTGTCGAGTCGCGTCGAATGAAATTCGGAATTTTAAGGTCATTTGGAAAATTTGACCTCGGGTCAGGGCATGACCTGACCGGAAAGGGTCATGCTGCATATCAGTCGATCCGTATCGCCGAGTTGAACACATCTGACCTGTTTTTACCGCTCTAGCATGTCTGTCGTCTCTTATATCAATTCAAAAGTAATAGTTTAAAAAAAACTGCTGGTGACCACTGACCCTTCATGACCTGAGATAACCTCAGGGTCACACAGAGAGGTAACCGGTGCAATATTCGGGTGTGTCATGTTTTCCAGTAAACCGATGTTTGAGAGTGTTTAGGTAGCATGGGCGTCGAAAGCGGGGGGACGGGGGGACGCGTCCCCCCGGCAGTCGAGGAATCCGGGGGGACGTCCCTTCCAAAAAATCGCCCATAAAGGATTTCAAAAGTGACTATTTGCAACGGTCATTCACAATGGAGTCATGTAAACAGAAATAAACCATTTTTAAAAGAATACTGATGCTGGTCAGTTGGACGGTACAACTGAGAACTCAGACACTTCAGTGGCTCAGGTACACCCACCAAAGGCTGAAGTTCGGTCCTCTGGGTGGGGTAACAGCTGCATAAGCCACACATTCGAGTATTCACAATACTCAAGCAAGACCCCCACTTTTAAACGGCCATCCTCCCGTGCTAGGCAAAACGACAGCCGAAGGGGCTCACCAGTTCACCATGACCTTAGAGTACCTGATGCTGGTGTGAGAGGTCAGATGACCTCGCCACGGTTTGGGATTTTTTTCATTGGGTTAGGCCTTTTCGGTCTGACGAGACCATTTCAGAGATGGAAGGAGATAGGAATTAGGGGGAGGGGGAGGGGGAGGGGGGACATTTGGTCTGGGCGAGCACCCTGGCGAGTCGCCGAGGCTGACCCCGTCCAGAGGGCAGGCCGACCAGCACCCCAAGCACTCACCAATCACCGCACCCGGTTACGGGCGTGCTCTTATCGGGGGTTCCCGCATGGGATAAAGTTCCCCGTCCAGCCCGGAACAAGGGGTTGAGGCGTGGAGGAGAGGGATTTAACTGTCCTGAGGATAGAAATGACGGAACGGTGTGTGGTATGAGAGGGTCCAGGAGGTTTGAATACTCAGTGTGGGCCTATATTGGTCTGACCCCTTTACTGATACAACCACCGTCCACGAGTCACAACGGCCAACAGAACCTCCAGCTCTTATCCCACCCGTCCTTTGGAAACCGCTAATTTTTATTGTCATCCACGAATTCCACGCGTACCGTAAACGACCGGCTAAAACGGCTTCATAAATTTCGACTAACCAGTTAAAGGGACCCTCCCACCTTAACATTAGATTTGAGTTGAGATAGCCAAAATGGGGTCCCTGGCTCACAATTACCGGTTTCGGCACTCACAACATCGAATTCGAGAAATGCCTTAAATCGGAAATATTGAATTTCAAAATTGCAGCATTTTGATTCAGAGGGGCTAATGCATAGGAATACCCCTCTGAATGTGTGACGTCAGCGCAGATATCTAACGATTTTTAAGACTAAAACGTTTTGTAGCACGCGGTGGTATATGCTGCTTTGCGCGCAACAAGTGTCGCACTTTCAGCTGCCAAACTATTGCTTCCAAATAAAGTCGCTAGGAACAGCGGAGATCCCAAAAAGTAAACAAAAGTAAAAGTCTAATATCTTGAAAACCGGTGAATATTTTTCGGTGAAATTTGGTAGATATTCGTTTTCGCTCTTTCTGAACCAAGCGACATCACTTTCATGCCAATTCATAAACTTTTTTGAAGGTGGGAGGGTCCCTTTAAAGGAAATAGTTCACTTTTAACATGGGGTTTTGAGCTGGAATAGCAGTTTCGTAGCTTGAGCTGAGACTAGCACAAATCAGGAGCTTTTACGGCTCAACGATCACCCTAGACGAAGAAATTCCATTTCTCGTTCCGAAAAGAGTGCCTTGTAGAGGAATGCGTGCCTTGCACAGGAATGCAGCCACGTCATCGTCAGCCAATCAGCGTGCTGCTTACAGCCAATGCAGTATTCGTAGGTTTGAGCTACGCAATATGATTGGTCAATGCGTAATAAGCTTCCGCGTCCAACATTATTTTACATAGAATATAGTTCGCCCTATATTAAAATAAAGAAAATAATTGTTTTTACAAAAAGGTTTTATTTTATTTCATGATTATTTTGAGCATAAAAAATCATAAATCAATAGCAAAATACTGATTTCAGGAAAGTGGACTGTTTCCTTTAAAGAGCAATGAGCATGACTTCAAGCCAGAGAATGTCGACTCTGACTTCGGAGTCGAAGTTAAAGTACAAACGACTTCGGTGACTCCAGCTCCGACTCTAGCCAGAGCTGTCAAGTCAAGCTGACGAGCTGTCAAGCTCCGGCTCCGATCCCGCAGTCCTGCAGTTGCACTACACAAAATTTCAAACTTCTAAGAAACAGACTGGTTTTTGATTCACCTTTTTTGATCGATTCAATCATTGATTCATTTGATTTTTGTTTGATTCAATCACCGTTTGATTCCTTCAAAAAAATTGGTGAATCGATTCCTTTTTATTCATAGAATCAAAAAACAATAAAAGGAATGATTCACGTTTGATTCAGCCAAATTTTTTGAATGATTCTTTTTTGATTCAATTAAAAAATAAAATATACAAAATATCAGGGATAGTATTGTATTTGTTGTGTTCTTTTTGTTGTCATGTAATGGCAGTAGTATTAATATTTGTTGATAATGAACTATGTTCGTTCACTTCAATTTTTTCAAGTTCATGAATCATTAATTTTTTGATTCAATCAACCCTGATTCCCAATGCGTTTGACTCAATCATGGCTTGTGAATCAAACAATCCTGACGGTGAATCAAACCTTTTTGATTCAACAAATTTTGTTTGATTCAATCCAATCGATTCAATCACAGATGAATCAAACACCAGTCTGCTAAGAAATAAGTTATACGGTTAAAGGACCACATTTTTTTAGAGGCAGGGCTACTTGACTTGGTGACCAGACCTTAGTGAGGTGTTCTGGCATCAAACTTGTTACACGGGCTGCAAAATTAAGGTGATTTGGAAGTGATTCATACTCGAGTCAAACAGAAATTGTGAGTAGTGATTAATAAAGCATCCCCCAATGCAAGTATGTATTAGAGATGTCAATCGGATACCAACTTTTTGGTATACCGATACCAAACCAATACCAACTTGGTATTTGGTATTTCAATCCTATTATGTTTGGTATTTTGTTGGTATTAAAAAAAAAAACACATATGCAAAAGAGGCTGATAAATTGGTAAAAAGTTGGTATTTTCCTCATTCTTCAAAATTGGTTTGGTTTCGGTATATCCTCACGGCTTTGCTTGGTATTTGGTTTGGTATCGGTATTCCGATTTTC